ATTAATACATGTACATAGTTATCATATTTTGTAATTAATTAATTTTATAAAAAACATAAACAAATATTTTTTTTTAAATAAAATAAAACTAATATTTAGATTAGATTATGAAATCATTATATTATAATATTAATAATATTAGATAAATATTTTAATAAAAATTTATTTAAATTATGCAAAACATTTTTTTGTTTTGTTTATTATATATTATTTAATATTATTTTAATTAATTTTTTTAGTTATTAATATTTTTCATAAACTACAAAATTTTTAACATTTTCAAAATTATTGTATAATAAATATTATTTTTACTATATATTTTTATTACAATTTAAAAATAATATTTATTTTTCAATATATAAATTTAAGTTTAATTATTATAAACAAAATTATTATTAATATTAATATTTAAATAAAATAATGTAAAACAAATTTATTTTTTTAACTTAAAAATATTTATGCATTTTATTGTATCTATAAATATTATTTATAAATCATTATTAATAATAATTTTTAATAATAATAATAATAATGTTGTAAATTAATGATTTTACAATTTTATTTTAGGTTTATATATATTGTTTTGATTAAATTTTATTACATTATAACTTTTAAAATATAATATTTTTAAAATTAATATATGATAATTTAAATTATGATCAATTTATTTATTATTATTATTTTAACTAGTGTATTTAGAGTACATGAACTAGGTAATTAGTTTTTTTATTATTATTTATAATTATTATTATAATTAATTTAGATATTATAACAATATACTATTATTTTAAAAAATATTATCAATTAGTTTTAAACTTAAATATAAATTATATTCAACAACGAAAAACTTGTTATTATTATTATTATTAATAATAGCAGCTAACTGTCCATCAGATGATCCGTGGCCTAAACTACCTGATATTCGGGCTAAACTCAAATACTACCGATCCCTGTCCAGCGAAACGGTTATCAATAAACTTATTGATGAAAATGTTAGGAAAAAATGTTTGCTATTTCGTGAGGTTAGCGACTGGAGCCGATTGCGTGGACTGGGCTACCTGTGCCAATTTTACTCGGACAGGTGCACCGGTAGTCGTAGGCTAGCCAACCAAACTAGATTGGATATCCAGTTACTGGTAGTGCCGTCATCATCATCACCATCGGGGGCGGCCTTACGGCTCAAACTACTACAACAATATGGTTTGTTTGTCGACTATTGGACCGACTATTTGAACCGATTTATATCGAGGACTAGAGGCTGTAAATATGATACGAAAAAGTTGGACAAATCAGACCCAAACCCCACGGATACGGACAAACTAATGATCAGATTATTGGATTTAAGGGATAAAATTCAGTCTAAATTAATGGTTTGGATTCATAGGGAAATGGATAGTAAACAACAACACCAACAACAGGATCGGCAGTTTTGGATAGACTATAATAAAAATGTTTTTTTTTATTTTGTTTTGAATAGTACTGAATATTATGTTTAATAATATAATTATTATATTTTTTTTTTGGTTAATTTAGCTCATAGTCTATCTGAACACTGTTATTGACACCGATATTGTAGAAAATTTGACAAAATTATTGCCCAACAACTCATTGATTAAAGCAAAAACATTGCAAAGTATTGGCAATTATTTTGAGTTTATATATCGGGGTATGTAATGGATCGGTGTGTGTGTGTGTGTGTATGTGTGTGTATGTGTGTGTATGTATGTGTGTGTATATGTATGTGTGTGTATGTTTGTGTATGCATGTGTGTGTGTGTGTGTGCGTGCGTGTATGTATGTGTGTGTGTGTGTGTGTGTGTGTGTGTATGTATGTATGTATGTATGTATGTATGTATGTATGTATGTATGTATGTGTGTGTGTGTGTGTGTGTGTGTGTGTGTGTGTGTGTGTGTGTGTGTGTGTGTATGTATGTATGTATGTATACGTGTGTGTATTAACTATGAACTCATGTAATTTTTTTATTGATGATTATTTTAATTTTATATATATTTTGTAATTAATTATTTTGTTATCTAATGAATTTATTTTTTTAAATTCTTTTTATTTAAATTATAATTATGTTTTATTTTAAAATAGTACTCATTTTAATTATAGTTTTTGTTTGTTTGAACTTATTAAAAATTATTTATTAAATTAATAGTAATAATAATAAAATAATTTTTAATGATTAATAATTTTGATAATAATTAATACTAATTAATTTTAACTAATTTTTTTGTAATTCAAGTAACTTTAATAAAAAATTGACTAAATTAAATAATTGGATTTAAACTAATAAATTATTTACTAAATAATTTAATTTTTTATTAAAAACATATAACATATTAAATAGTAAATATAATAAAAAAAATGCTAGTTTTATTAGCAATAGTAATGATTAAATAATTTTCCTCTAATTATAACAAAATAATAATAATAATTATTATTATTATTATTAACTTAATATTCATAGCTAAAATTTTTTAACAATGTTGTTTAGCGTAATCAATGATTTTGCAAATATATATATTTTTATATAAACTATATTTATATACAGCTGTATAATAAAAGTATAAATTTTTATTTTATAAAAATATTTTATAAAGTATTAAATATTAAAATTTATTAATAAAATTTTATGTTTTTTTATTAAACATTTTTTTTGGATGTTTGAAAATATTTGTTTTGAAATAGTTTTTTATATATTTTTAAAATAATAATATATCTATGTTTTTATTGTCATATATTTTAAATTAAAGTATATTCTAGTTGTTTGTTTATATTGTTAATTAATAAAAATTATTAAATAGTATATAATAAAATATTAATATTTAACTTTTTTTTAAAAAAAAACAATCAACAAATATCTAATTAAAAATAAATAATGACTAAAACAACAATCAATTATCACATCTATGTTTTAACATTATTAATATATTTATACTATTTTGTTCAAGTAATGTGTAATTATAATATTTTTAAATAAGTAATATTTATAATAATAATAATTATTATTATTTTAAATATTTTTAGAAATATAACCAACAACAAAAATATTCTATTATTATTTTATTATTATTATTATTTTTAATTAATTTTTTTTTGACAACTAGCATATTGTAGGCTATATGTTTGGTGTGGTAATTACTGACCTGGCTACATTATATAATACTGATCTAATGGGTATAGCTGGTATGATACAAATAGCATCCATTGCAACATTAATTAGTCCATTAAGTAAATAAATTAATAATTAATTAATTATAATTATAATTATTGTTTAATTAATATATTTTTTCAAATAAAAAATAACTACTATCAATAGATATAATTTATAGAATAATTATATACAGTTTTTTTAAATATTATTATTATTATTATTATTATTATAGTATATTATTGACTAAATATTGATAATACATTGATAATAATTTGATTAGAAAATATTATTATTATTATTTAATTAATATTATCATTTAATTAGTATAATTATATTCAAAAAAAATAAAATAAAAATAACTATATATTTAGCAATAGATATAATTTATAGAATAATTATATAAATATATATTTAATTATTTTTATTATTATACTGTAATATATTATTGATTAAATATTGATAATAATTTGATTGTAAAATATAAAATATTTTATATAATCAAAAAAATTATTTTTTTTGTATATCTATTTAGTTAATCTGCTAACCAATTATGTTAACAAACAGCTAGTGGTCGCCGTATCGCTAATACTGTACGGCATATGTTCAGCACAGTTACCATTGATGCCATCGATGACTGGCCTAACCGTATTGTATGTATTTTGTTCGCTACTAAGTCTGGCCACTACAACCATTGCCGACATATGGATGGCCGAATTGTGGACCAACCGATGCGGACCGTATATCCAGGCCATGCATATGATGGCCAGTCTATCCGGTTGTGTGGCACCGGTAATTGTTGAACCATATCTATCGGTCAACAAACAACTAATCCTAACAAACATTAGTGATGATGATACTGATAATAATATGACTATCCATACTAATAATACAACTACTGTCCATTGGATAACTACCGACACCCGAATACATATACCCTATATTATAGTCAACTCAGTGGTCGTAATGGTCGGCTTAGTTATGTTAACAGCTTATCTAATTAAACCATACCAGGGTCGTGGCCAGCATCATCATCAGCAGCAGGTGCAAGATAATAATAATAATAAAGAGCCAGCACTAGCACCTTCATCATCATCATCATCAAAATTTGTAGGCCTAACCACTAAGCTAACCTATCAATTTAGACTAATGGCACCTAATCGACAAAAATTGATCCAGCTAATACTGATGATCATATTGAATTTACTAATAGTAGCATCAGGTATATCATTGTTTACCTATTTCCCAACATTTGTACGTTTGTATAGCCTCGATCAGGTTAGCCAACAAACAGCTGCCTACATGACTACCGGCCTCTACATAGCCGTAACTACCAGTCTATTGGGATGTATTGTCCTAACAAAATACGTCCCGCGGCCACAAACCCAAATGTTTCTGGCATTTGGCCTACAATTACTAGCCTATTGTGTCTATTTGTTGAACAATTCAATCCTATGGATACTATGGCTATCGGTTGTATTGTTAGGTGTAGGCAGTGGTCCCTTAATTGGCTGCTATTTCAACCTATTTGAACTAATGTTGACAATGACCGACATAATGGGTGCCATATTTTCGTTGACTATATGCGCCGATTTACTATGGGTACCCTATGTTTACGGTTATTTTCTGGAGACCCAGGTCATTGTGTTTATCTATCTGAATTGTGGCCTAGTAGTCCTATCGATAGGACTACTGGGTCTAATTGATTGGCTAGCTAAACATAGCCAGGTGCAAATTCAGCCAGTGCCAACAACAACAACAATACAATGTGATGAAAATGATAATACATTATAAAAAATATTATTAAATGCTTATTATATTTGTTTTTTAGTTAAAATTGTTTTCACTTGAAATCTATGAAATTGATATAATAAAATAAATTTTAAATCAATGATTTTGCAAATAAATTATATAAAACTAAATTAATATTTTATATTAAATACCGGTATATAGTATATTGTTTTTATATACATTTCTACACATAATATGTATAAGTAATGAATAATAAAATATACTAAAATGTTATTTATTTTTTTAGACAAACAATTTTTTTTTGATGTATGAATAAGAAAATATTTATTTTGAAAAATAGTTTATATAATAATAATATTATTATTATTGATATATAAATGTTTCTAATTATAATAAAATTTTATATTATTTAATTTAATTTAATGTTCAATTTTAAAATATTGGTATATTATAGTTGCACATGTATAATAAAATAAATTTTATTAATTAATAAATAACCATAGATATTTTACTTATAATTATCATATAAAAATAGATTATTTGTAGAATAATTTTTTTAAAATAATTAGCTAGATACATTTATTAATTAATATTATCATCATATATATACTGTACATATATACAATATATAAATATTTGATATACAATGTGGGTATATTACAATTGATTATCATTGTTATCATTAACAATAACAATAACTTTAGTTGTTATATGATTTTTACGCAAATTATTATTATTATTAGTTAATTTAATAATTTTTTGTTTAACTAGGATGACCAAAACAATTAGCACCAGCGATATGATTGCCATACCCAGATTGACATAACAAAAAATCAATGGATTACTAGCAATTTGGGTGCCCAGCACCCAGGGTACTACCAGATAGTTCAAGCATATAAGCATAGTAAATATGGCACCTATAGTATCGTTAATGGGTATAATAAGCTCCAGTAGATTATGCAAACACGGTACTAGTGGACCGAAACCAATACCAGCTAGTATAGTGGCCAACCATATCCCTGGGTAGCTATTGGTGAACAGGTATATGAAATTGGCACCGATCAATATCAGCAACGATACTATGAGTACAGTTTGTGGCCGGCAGTGTTTGGTCAGACCAATACAGGCCAACTGTACGGCAGCAATGGCCAGGTTTTGGCCAGTAGTCATCAGTGCAGCTGTTTGTTGTGTAATACTAGGACCGCCGTATAACTGGGCAAATGTTGGCAAATAAAATCCCAACGCCATAAATATGGCATCAAATAACATGTAAACTCCCAGCAGGAACAGTAGGGCCAATGATGTCCACCAATTTGGACATAAATCATGGTGTAGTTGTCTAGTGAAACGTTGATATTTTGTAGGATTTCCCTTAGTATTAATTTCCGCTGAATTTTTATGGTTATTTTTAACATCACTACTGGTACGCGGTATGTATTGACTAAATCTGAAACTAATTGCTAGTATACCGCCTAATATCAAGGTAACTGAGCCGACAATTATATAGGGTATATGTATTGTACTATCGGTAAACATAGTCTCTGTATTATTATTATTATTATTATTATTATTACTTAAAACTGTTAAATTATTATTTATAGTAATATTTACTAAACTAGTAGTCGACGACAATGATTTAGTCGATAAAAATGGTCTAACCATCAATGGTCCAGCTATTGATGACAAACTGTACATCATGGCCAGCACTTGCATATAGGGGCCGCACCGGAGGTCCCACATTTCGACTATCCATACGTTAACCAATGTATAGGAGCCGACATTTATCATGTATATCAATATGCTTGCAATGGCCATCAGGGTTAGCCAGTTCAAGCTGGGTAACAGTGCCACTGATAGGCCATAGATGATCAATATGGTTGCATACAGTAGCTGTTTGTTTAGATGTTTTGATGCTATATTAACTATAAATTTAAAAAAAAATAAAATTAATAAAATTAAATAATACTTATAGTAATTATTAAATAAATACTTATATTAATTATTAAATACTTATATTAATTATTAAATACTTATAGTAATTATTAAATACTTATAGTAATTATTAAATACTTATAGTAATTATTAAATACTTATAGTAATTATTAAATACTTATAGTAATTATTAAATACTTATAGTAATTATTAAATACTTATAGTAATTATTAAATACTTATAGTAATTATTAAATACTTATAGTAAGTATTAAATACTTATAGTAATTATTAAATACTTATAGTAATTATTAATTATTAAATAAATATAGTAATTATTAATAATATCTAATAATTTTCAAAAAGTTTAAAAAAATTGTAAAAGTTTTTTTTGGTAACATTTAGCAATATTACTATTAATTTAACATAAACCAAAAAAATAATAATATGATATTATAAGCAAAACTTTTGACTATAATTTTTATTTTAAATATCTAAAATAAATTTGTACTAGGTAATATTTATATATATATAACTTACTCAATATAGCTAATAGACTGGTAATTGATGTTATTTGCAATATACGCGATATGCCAGCTATATCTGTATTATAGATTTCAGCTAGATCATTGATAACTACACCAAACATGCACCATGGTAAGTTCTATTAAATAAATAATTATTTGATTTAAAAAAAAATCATTTAAATTATTAAAAATTATTTATTTATAATAATTATAACTTTTTAATATTTATTTACCTGAAAAAATACGCATACATAAATTATAATTGATAGCACATATTTGGTGCTAGTTGAATTAACATTTTCATCAATGTCCATTATATTTTTTTTATTTTTAATAATTTATTTAAAAAAATATCTTTGAAAAGTTTGAAACACTTTATTCAAAAAAAATGTGTGTGTTTTTTGAGAATAACAAAAATATTTTTTTTTTTGAAAAAATATAATAATTTTTAATCTAATTTTACATAACGATAATTTTTGTTTTATATTATTTGTTTATATATATAATTTATTATTTATCATAAATTATGGAAATATTTTTAAATATATTTTTTTAAAAGTGTTATCAAATTTTTGTATAACAACTTTTGATATACTTAAATGTAATTTAATGTTTTCATTTAAATTTTATCCGTATATCTTCAATGTCATCAGTAGTATAATATATATATAATTTATTTATATATAAACTGTAATTATAATATATATATATATATATAATATTTATAAAATTCTCAGTATATTATGTCACAAATGATAATAATATTTAATTTTTTTATTATTATATTAAATTTCACAGAATTGTTATCAATTAAAAATCAAATATTTTTTTTGTAAAAACATATTTATGTAGAATATTATCAATCAATCAATCAATCAATGAAATAATAAAAATTAAAAAAAATATTACATGTATTTTTTGAATTTACAATAAAAATGAAATAATATTTTTTTAAAAAAATATCTTTAAATACTTAAAAATTAATAAATTCAAAAAATAAAAACAAATTTCTATTAAAAATGTAAATCTTTTTAATTTTAACAGTTAATCTGTAAAAATTAAAATTGAATTAAAAAACAGTATTATTATTAATAATAATATCAACAGTACTAACATTATTATTATTATTTATGTTAAAATTTTCATTATTATTTAAATTATTATTATTATTATTGTAGTAGTAGTATTTAGTAATAAAAATCATCAAGATCAATGATATGATAATCAATGATAACAATAAATAAAATAAACTGTATACATTATGGTGCATAGTATATTGTAAAACTAGTGGTACCAACATATCCAATATATTAGCCGAAAATAACATAATAACACCAATCGTATCCGTGACGGGTATCAGGCGCTCAAGTAGGCTATAGATACAGGCATTAATCGGTCCCAATCCTAGACCATAGAGTATGGTTGCCAACCACAGCCACCAGAGACTAGTACCGGATAATTGTATGAATATCACGGTTGAACCCAACAGTAGGGACAGGTAGATGAGCATAATTTTCTGGGGGTCCACATAACGGCTAATAGGTATGGCCAGTAGTCGACTGACGGTCATTGTCATAAACAGTCCGCTGGTCATTACGGCAGCCGATCGGTTATCTATGAGTAGCCGATGGCTTAGTTGGGCAAATGTTGGAAAATAAATGGCCGGTGCTATAAACAATTGGGTAGCTATCGAAAATAGGATGGCCACTGCAACGATTAGTTGTATAGTTGAACGATTAACAGTATTATAGGTTAGTAGAAATTGACGTTTTAAACTAATCAAACAGTTGGTCACTATATTTTTGTTTAACGAAACATTAGTATTATCATCATTATTATTATCCGGCACTGTTATACTGGCAACTCTAGATGGTTCATATTTTCTATAACAATATAGTAGTGTAAGTATTAGTACGCTTAGTAGGATCAATGTGCCGGCTATTGAATAGGGTATGAAAATTTTTGATGTACTACTACTACTACTAGACAGTTGGACACCATTTTTATGGTTATGACTATCAATAATTGTGTTGTTGTTGTTGTTGTTGTTAGTGATGTTAGTTTGTGACGACAAAAACGGTTTGACCAAAATTGGCGAAAAAATTAGTGCCAAACTGTAGGCCAGTTTAAGCGCCTGTATATAGGGTGCGCACCGGTGTTGCCATAGCTCTACTAGCCATATGTCGGTCAACATTATCAATATATCCATGGTCATTGAATTAATCAAATAGATTGCGGTTAGATATTTGTACGATGGTAATAGTGGCAATAAAATTGTGGTCAAACCATTTAGCAATAATAATTGAATGCAAACTAGTTGCTTGTTGAATTTTTGCAATATATAATAGACTAATTAGTAGATAAAATATAAATTATATTAAAAATTAAATTATCAATTTAATAATTTTTTATTAAAATTATTTTTTTTAAAACTTACCAATTGGATTAAAAATTAACAACACTAGCGATCTAATAAATAGTAGCTGGTTAATTTTTGATAATGTTGTTTCATATAAATCAACTAGATCTAATAGTCCAGTACCAAACATTGAAAATGCTAATTGCTAATTTTATAAAATAATAATATTATTTATTAATACAAATTAATATATATTATTAATACAAATTAATATATATTATTAATACAAATTAATATATATTATTAATACAAATTAATATATATTATTAATATAATTTTTTAAATAATAAATAAAATACTTACAATAGAAAATGCACAAAAATAAATTGTACATGTTAAAAAATGTTTGTATCTATTATTATTATTTGATATTTTATTTCTATTATTATTATTATTATTATTATTGTTATCCATATTTTGTAAAAATTTTATTTCAAAATAATTTTAATTAAAAAATATTTAAAAGTTAATATTGTTATTATTATTATATAACATATTTACTCTTTTCATTAAATACTGTATAATAAACTATTTATTATATGAAATATATTGTATATTTTATTGATTTGCAATTTAAATTATTATTTTTTTCAAAATGCAGTCTATCAATTATTTTGTTTTTTTTGTTTATTTAAATTATTATTATAAAAATAAATTACTAATAATAATTTTTTTTTTAAAAAGTAGTTTACTCTCTAGTATAGCAAATAATAAATTAACATAAACACACAAACACACCCATATATATATATACAGTTAACAAATCTATATATATATATATAAATAATGGACCGATTTTGATGCGGTTTGTTTTAAAATATATATATATTTGTGATAAAAATCATTTTAAGCAAAAAGTTTTTATGAAAATATTGTATGGTCATAATTTGTAATTTATTATTATTTATCATTGATTGTTTGTTTTCATTGATTGTTTTCATTGTTTGTTTGCATTGTTTACAAATTAATTGATTAAAAGAAACTCTTCAAAATGCCGATGACAACAGAAGAAAGAGAATTAAAGTTCAGAAGAATGATAAAGTTGAGAGCCAAAGGAGTCAAATCATCTGCAATTATGAGAGAATTGGGTAAATAAAATAAAAATAAATACTTTTTGAAAAACAATAATTAAATAAAATTAATTGCAGATATTTCAAAGAATACTTATTATGATTGGCAGCGTATTGATGATAATGAAGAGCTTTTCCTGACTGTGAAAAGACCTGGAGGCCGATCAATGACCACCAATTCAACTGACAACCAAACGTTAAGAGATACAGCTCTTGAGCATAATTGGCTGGATATGAATGCTTTGAGAGAAGTCCCTGAAATAAGAGAAAATGAACGTTTGTCTACCGTATCAAATGAGACAATAAGACACCGTTTAAGAGATTCAGGTATTAATTAAATGTTTAATTAATAAATTATAAAAACTTAATTTATTATATTTAAGGTTTTTTTGCCACATCAATAGACACTATGCAAATAATATACTGGACACTTTTATTTTTGTATAGTTAGTGTGTCAATACATAATGGCAAAGTTTATGTTTGGCGAAACGGGACTTATATATATATCATAAATCATTCATATTATTGTAAGTTAATCAAATTAAATTGCTATAAAGATTAATAAAAGTTTTTAATTTAGCTTCAGTTTTCATGGTTTGGGAGAGTTGGTGCCAATTGATGTCCTCAACAGTGAAACTTACGCACAGTTTCTGGAAGGGTCGGTGTTGCCATATATTGATCGTCACTTTGATGATGGCAATGTGTTGCTATTACATGACAACCATCCATGTCATGTATCTCATTATGTCAAAGACTGGGTTACAGCAAATATAGGACAAGTTGAGGAGTTTGTTATTCCTAAGTATAAAAAATTATTAATATCTATTTTATAGTTTGTCACCAGATCATAAACAGAAGTGGACAAAATTTATATATATATATATATATACACGATATTAATAAAAATATTTTTCTTAATATATATATAATTGAATTTTATCTTTATTTTAAAACAAACCGTATCAAAATCGGTCTATTATTTAAAAAGATATTAACATTTTAACAGTACCAGATAGTAGATTTGTTAACTGTATATATATATAACTTATATATATATATAAATGATTTAGACATTTCATGGTCACTATTAATTTGAATAATAGATAATTATTTTTTAATAAATTTTATTAAACAGGTTCATATATTAATTGTTTTGTTTTTTTATTATCAATAAATACAATTGTTTTTATTTTTATATACAGTACTTAATATAATTATACATTATTTTTGTAATTGTTAGACAAATAAACAAAAAATAATAATAATTATTAGGAAATTTATATAAAATTCATTAGTATTTTTATAAATAATATTTAGCATACAATTACTTTTGATGTCAATTGAATTTTGATATATTTAACATTGATAGTTTTTATTAGAAATATAAAATTTTTATTTTTGTTTTTTATTGTGATTAGGTTTTCAACATATTTTTAATATAATATTATAATATTTAACTAATTTTTAGTGATTTTATAATATTATTAATTTAATTAATTTAATTACTTAAATAGATTATCCAATTGTAATGTTTTTTATATATTTAAAAAATATTTAGTTTATATATATTTATATATTTTTTTTGTATTTTCTAAAAATTTATTTAATATATTTATTTAAATTTTTTTAATAATAATTTAATTTTATGCTTTTTTTAAAAAAATGATAATCTAAACTTACAACTATAATTTAATCAATCAATTATTTATTTATCTATTTATTTGATAACCATATTTTCTAATTCAACATGGTCAACTAGTTGATTGGTACGAAATTTTTTTGAATATTTTTTCGCTATAATCATCATTGAAAACAATAGCATAACAATTGTAAATTGTATATAAATTAATGCATAAACATTCAAATGCATAGTATAGCGTAATATCAGGGGTACTAAAACATCGACCAGGGTAACCATAAATATAATCAATACACCGATAATGTTGGTTATGGGTGTTACACGTTGTAACAGTGCCAGTAAGCAGGCATTCAATGGACCCAGGCCAATACCGTACAGTATGCTGGCTGACCATAAAAATGCCCTGTCCTTGATCAATAGTTCCATAAATATTAGTATCGAGGTTAACAGTATGCACAGGCATATATTGATAAATAGGTCGGTGCGCAGGTATCTGCTAAGGGGTATGGCTGCCAATCGGCTTGAGGTCATCGATATGAATAGGGTTGACGATAGGACAGTTGCCTGCTGTTTGGTTAGATGTTGTTCGGATAGTTGGACAAACGTTGAAAAATAGGTAGACTGACAGCGAAACAATTGTTGTACCAGTGCTAGCATCAGAGTAAACATCAATGTTATAGCCAAGGTTTGTTTATTAGGCATTAATTCAATAATAATTTTTTCATCTAATTTGGCCAGGTATCGTTTCAATTTTCCACAATTATCCAGATCAAAATTACTGGGCAATCGGTTGCTGCTGGCAACGCTACTATCACTACCACTATTATTATTATTATTACTACCACTATTAATGTTGCTAGGTAAATATTTACGATACCAATATAGCATTGACATTATCAATGAACTAGCTAGAATCATTGAGCTAGCAATTATGTATGCCATAATAATATTTGAATCATCTAGTACATTATTATTATTATTATTATTATTATCTAGATTATTATTATTATTGATATCAACTAAACTAGCATTGTTGTTGTTGATTTCAATGTAGTCAACAAATTTGTGTCTGGACAAAAACGGCCGTACAATCAATGGTGTCACTATAACGGCCAGGCCATAGGTAAATTTCAATGCCTGCATATAAGGTGCACACTGCCGGTCCCACATTTCCAGTAGCCAAACATCAAGTGCAATCATCGTTATGTCCAGGGTCAGTGTGTTGAGTATTAGGTCGAACAGTAGCCATACGATTGACGGCAATACCGGTATTAGGATGGCTGTAGTGCCGCCCACTGTCAGGGTTAGTATACATAGTAGTTGTTTGTTTAGGTTGCGCAATAGATAGAAGGCTATGTATAAAAAAAATAATGTTTCAATATTAATTATTTATTATTATTATTATTATTATTATTATTAGTAGTAGTAGTAGTAGTAGTAGTAGTAGAAGTAGTAGTAGTAGTAATAATAATAATAATAATAATAATAATAGTAATAGTTGTTAAAATTTATTAATTATATAAATATATATTAGTAATAATTTACTACTACTACTACTACTACTACTACTACTACTACTATCACTACTATCTACAGTATAAATACTAATTATATAGTGTATTAAAAAATAAATAAATATTAATATAATCTAATTAATCTAATTAATATTCAATCTAGTATAATAAAATTAGTATAATAATTATTGTTATTATCATTTATTAATTCAAATATATATATATATATATATATATATTTGATAATATTACCTAATGGACCAACTAGCAATAGTATTAACGATTTGATAAACAATATTTGATTGATATCCGATAATGTTGTTTTATATGTATCAATTAAATCAGTTAATGTTGGACCAATCATTAAATAGGGTGTTTGCTAAAATATATATCAATATAAAATAAATTTAGTAGCACAATAATAATTATCTATATTTTTAATAAAAACATAAAAATTTATTTATTTATTTAGTTATTAAATAATACTGTATATATTATATATACTAAAATATACAGTAAATTTTTTAGATAGACTTACTATTGAGAAACCGCAAACAAATAGCATCAATGTTAAAACATATTTGTATCTAGTTGATTTTGTTGGTTTAGTTAAATTTATTGTTGTTGTATTGTAGATTTTATCAATTACCATGGTGCCAATTGATTTACTGTATATA